ACTCCCCCCCCCTCCCCACTTGACTCCCTCACTGACCTCCTTGCGTCAGAGAGGTCTCTGAGCTGGCTAAAAAGTGCTCCAGATTCTCCAGCTCAGGGGAAAGAAGGAATTCACCTGGGAAGGTTATTTTGGGGTTGGGATTTCCAACTTCTTCCTCTGAATCCCTGCCAGAGATGGACAAAGCCAGCCCCGACACAGGGCATTGCTGGCAGACACCAACAGCACCGTGAGCTATGTGCTTAGGGGGCAAAATTAATCCTTCAAAAGTGCCCAGTCCTCACCCAGCTGCTACCAAAAATGGGTGTAGATCCCTCCCTGCACCCCGGGGTGTCCGTACCCTCACGTGCTGGTGGGCGAGCTGCTCCACTTGCTGCTGGTGCAGGCTGGCGAGGAAGAGCTGGTGCTGCAGCTGCTGCGTGTGCTTCAGAGCCAGCAAGGTGGTGTCAGAGCCGGGCTTGACGACGCGCTGCCCGATACGCAGGTCCATGGGGACGGTCTGGGGCACCTGTGGGGAGGTGCACGGGTTCACAGCAGCTGTTGAGACACAAAGTAGAGTAAAGCTCAGTCTGTGTCTGGCTCAGATCACCCATTAGGTAAGAAAGGAAAACATCAGGATGGGGCTCGGATATAGCCCAATGCACGGGTGAGGAACATGCCCTGCCATTGAGAAGGGCCTGCCAAGCACCATCAACTGCCTGCAAAAGCCTCCTCCATCACTTAGGTAAAAAAAAAAGAACAACCTGTAAATCATACACCCTTGGAAAGTCTCCAAGGTGCTGCAGGCATCTCTCCCTCACACCACAGCTGAGAATCACTCTGCAAACTTCAAACACTCCCACCCTGCTTGGATGCACAGCCTCCTGGTGTGGCAAATCCTCACGGGAACACCTAAACCAGCCCCAGTGACACAGAGCACCAAAGCCACCATCACAAGAGAGACATTGAGCAGCTGGAACAAGTCCAGAGGAGGCCACCAGGATGATGCGAGGGCTGGAGGAGCTCTGCTGTGAGGACAGGCTGAGAGAGTTGGGGCTGTTCAGCCTGGAGAAGAGAAGGCTCCGGGGAGATCTTATAGGGGCCTCCCAGTACCTGAAGGGGCTACAAGAAACCTGGGGAAGGACTTTTCATAAGGGCAGTTAATGACAAAACAAGCGGAAATGGGTTTAAGCTGAAAGAGGGGAGGTTTAGATGAGATATTAGGAAGAAGTTCTTCACTGTGAGGGTGGTCAGACAGTGTCCCAGGTTGGCCAGAGAAGCTGTGGCTGCTCCTGGATGAGTCTTTGAGCAACCTGGTCTAGTGGAAGGTGTCCCTGCTGCTGGCAGGGGGGTTGGGACTGGATGAGCTTTAAGGTCCCTCCCAACCCAAACCAGTCTGGGATTCTATGATTCTCACCCACCAGCTCCTAAAGCTTTGCTTAATTTACCCTGCACATGCCACAGGCCAGCGCAGAGCAGAACCAGTCGCCTTCAGCTGCAACAAACAGAAGGACAAACCTTCAGAAAAGCCACCCAGGTACGAGGATGCTGGCAGCTGTGATGCTCCTCCAGCACCTCTGCAGTGGGATGCTCCAAACAACACAGGGAGAAGGGAAAAAGGGGATGAGCAAGCACGACAGCCACGGAAGGACACACGGACAAGCCCTGTGGTGTCCCAAGGACCAAACGCAGCGAGGTGCAAGGTAGACGTGGCCACTGCAGCTTCGTGCTTCACCACGGGGATTGCAGCACAGGGGACACTGGAAACAGGCAGGTGGGCAGGAAATTCAGCATGAAAAGATGTTCTTGAAGGACATAAAGCCAAGGCCACCACAGCTTGAGAGCTAACTGTTTTCCAAAAGCAGTTTTGATTTAAAAAAAAAAAAAATAAAAAAATAAAATGCAAATGTTATTTTATAGACAGAGAACCACACCCTGGGCTGTTCAAACCTCAGCCTCAACGGCATCGGGGAGATCGTGCTGACAACTGCAATATTGCAGGAGAAATCTCTGCAGGTTCCTGCCCCGTAACGCAGCATTTCCACAGCTCTTCCCAGAGAGAAACCTGGCAAAATCCCACCTGGGCCCGTGCCTCCCTGCAAGGGGAAGGAACACGGGTGTGTTCACCCAAGGAGGGCACGGGGACTATTAATAACCACAGGCACACATCCGTGCAGACGATGGGGTGCACAGCCCTGCTGAAATGGGGCCAGCTCAGGTTTTCCTGCGTGGCCCAGGCAGGGAAAATTCCCTCTGGTCGAGGGCAAACACTTCTCTGCACCAGCTCAATTCTCCAGGACAGAAACATCCCCGACCTCAGCCCATCCTGGAGGAGGAGCTGACATTCCCAGGAAACCTCATCGCAAGGTTTATCCCATTCTCTCTCTCTCTCCATCTTGCTGATAACTGCTTGGGATTTAATTTGTCTCTGGTTAATTGGCTCTAATTGCTACACCCTGCCTACCCCACCATAACCAGCATGATATGGAGGTTGGGGAAGATTAACAGCCGCAGCCTGAAAGCCGCTGAGCTCCTCTGAGCCATTATCACTGAGACCTCGGGGCTGGACATGGCACGATGATGTGAGATGGGCAGGATGAGCCCCAGAGCCCCCTTTGAGGGTCAGGCACAGCAAAAGCAGGTGAGCACATTCCAGCTGTGCTTTTATGAGCAAACAAGAGTCCAAGTGAAGTTACCCCAAGCAAGAAAACCCCCCCAGTCTTCTTTCTACACACCCTTCCACACCAGCAAGAAGCCAAGGGTCCCAAAAAAGCTGACATCCTCCACGGGGCTGACAATTCACCCCAGGCTGCAGCACTCGGTCCCATCTCCTCACAGCACGGTGCCAGTCCCAGCGCCGTGGGAGGTCGTACCTGCCTGCTGCTCCAGAAACCTCCCAGCTCCAACAACCCCCAAAGGGCCTCAGATCTTGCTAAACATCCATGATTTTGAAGGATCGAAGCGATAAGCTGGGCTGTCACCTCTTGCTTCTCAGCTCATGTGTGTTCCCACCTCCCAGTGAGGAGGAGGAGGAGGAGGATGCCATAGGAACAGGCGTTGGCCAAGTCCCTCGGGGATGCTCGGCAGGAGGAAGGCTGGAGGGAGGCAGCGGCACGGCGTGCGTAGCGCTACCCGACGTGCCGGGCTACTGGCAGCCAGACAAGGACAGATTGTAACGAGCAAATCTCAGGATGGGAAACAGGGACTTCTGACAGCTCCCAGCCAGGCCAAATCCTCACCACGTGACGCTGCCTATCTGCAGGAACTTGCTGAAGCTCAACCATCCCTTGGTCCTCTCCAGCCAAATGTCACCGTCCTGCTGTAAACCATGAAAGGGGCAGGAGGTGGGGAACACAGCGAGGCTGCCGGGGGGGACCACAGGCATCGGGCTCAGCTTTGAGACACTGAGAAGGGCGGTTGATACACACAGAAGCATCATTTGGAAGGGGTACGAGGAGGAAGGACCAGCCCACCAAGCCACAACCTCCATCTTTGGAGCTGATGACATCCAGAGAAGAGCTGTCCCAGCCTTTCCCTGCTTGTGATGCTAAAAACGCCCACGGGGAGCTCCCACCCTCAACGCTCAGCACCAGCAGTTCTGTTCTCACCTCCCCACCAGCAGCATCTTCACATCCCTCTGGCACCTCCCCAGGGCAAAAAGGGGCGAGAAGGTCTTGGGGGGCAACCGCAGGCGTAAGAGGGGGGATCACAGGCAGCTGTGGGGATGGAGCAGGACACACAGCCAGCGGCACAGAGCCGAGGGGGACGGCACTGGCGGGGTCTCTGGGAATCTCTCTACCTCGTTTGTTTTTAGTCTTTTTTAAAAACAAACTCCGAAGCAGCGGAAGAGGAGAAGTGGGAGGGAACGCGTGTGCTGGGGGAGAGGGAGGACGGGCAGGCCAGCAGCCAGAAAAACAATTCCTCACCACTCACCCAGAGCCAGGAAAAAGCCTGTCGAGCATCCCCACGGCCAAGAGGCACCAGAGCCAGGGAAGAGCCGCCGGCAGAGGCTGCGTGGACCCTCCTCCTGCCACGGCCCCCAGCTCTGCACATCCATGGTGCAGGGAGGACCCTGTTACACCAGGTCCTGCTCAGCTGGGGATATTTTAGCCAAATTTTCAGGAGAGAAGGGATAAAAACAAGGGAGCATGGGAGCGTGGACTGGCCTGAAGTGCCCCAGGGTGACACGGGTGTTCCAGCCCACGCAAAGCCCCAACGTTACGGCTTCAAACTCGGCCAGCCCGGCCTAAAGCCACCAAACTCAGGGTGGTTTTCCAGAGCTTAGAAATATGAGGCTTTATACACCGAGTGCCAGGGTGGTGAGGGATGAGGACCGGCTGTACCAGCAGCACTGGGAGCTCCTGGGCAGGAACCTCAGCCACTGTCCCCATGCTGGGACCTCTCTGACGCGTGGCACCTGTGCCTGGTAGCTCCCTGGAGATGTCCCACATCCCTTCTGCTCCAGCAGCCCTGGACCCCTTTGCAAAGCCCTTCCTGCCCTGGGAGCTGTTTGTTTCAGCCATGACCTCCCGTTGCAGCTTGAATTCATTTGGGGTTTCATGCCGGGACCTCTGCCAAGAGTTACAGTAAACAACTCCCCTCCCCGGCAGCCTCCGATAGTCACACATGATTCAGGGGGCAGGCAGCCAGGCGAGCAGCTCCTCCTCTTCCCCTCACCCAAAGGAGGCCAAAAGCACGGCCCCATGATGGCTCCTGGGGGGTCTGCCTCTTCCCCAACCCAGTCCAGGTCCTGCTGGTTCCTAGCAGACCCTCATAAGCCACCAACACCATGACCCATGGCCATGGAGGGGCTGGGACTGGGATGCAGGGCCCTGGGACCATGATCCTTGGGCTGGGACCAGGATGCTCTACTGGTCCTACAAAGCCTCATGGGGCTGAATCCTTCATCTTTCCTCCCTCACCTGTATGGCCAGAAGCAGGGTTGAGTGCTGGGGCAGGGAGAAGTGAGGTGGAAGAACTCACCCAGGGAAGAAGCAGAAGGTTTCTGGGACAGGCTCTTCTCCCAGCTGGATGTCCAGCTGCCAACATTTTTGCAAATTATTTTTAGTTCACAAGCACATTGGCAGTGCTGGTGGCAGGCTCGTCCTCACATGAGCGCTGGGGCTGGCAGGGGCTCAATGGCCACCATGTCACCAGCAGCAGCACACAAATGACCTCGCTGTTAAATGACAGCAAAACGCAGCCTCTTTGCAAAGACAAAACGCCTTCATAGAATCATAAAATGGTTTGGATTGGAAGGGCCCTTAAAGCTCATCCAGTCCCACCCCCCCTGCCAGCAGCAGGGACACCTTCCACTAGACCAGGTTGCTCAAAGCCTCATCCAGCCTGGCCTTCAACACTTCCAGGGAGGGGGCACCCACAATGTCCTTGGGCAACCTGTTCCAGTGTCTTCAACCTCTCCTCTCTGCTTCCGAATAAATCATTAATTGCAAAGCTTATCTGCTCAGCTCAAGCAACTCAGGAGATATTTGGGGTGTTGACACAAGGCAGCTCCCGGACAGGGGGTGAAGGCAGCTGTGGGGACCACTCACTCGCTG